TGGGTGCTGGACAGCACGCGGGCGATGCGGGAAGGCACCCAGGGGCAGCGCACGGGCGCGAGACGACACGAGATGGCACAGCGCGAGGCGACACGAGACGGCGGACGGCGCTGGCAGAGGTCTGAGGCCACTGATAGCTGAAACATTACAACCGAGGATTTTGGAGTTCGGCTCAGGACAATCAAATGAAACTTTTACCAGATGAAATACACTCAATGAAGGTCCAGAATACCAAAGACTGACCCTTAAACACAACCCTAACCCATAGATCAATTTTTTAAAAGAAAGGAGCATGAACAAGGGTTTTCTGGTTCAAGGGGCTATACTTAGAGTTTTTCAACGAAATTTTAATAGCAATCTGTACATCAGAGAAAACTCCTAACCCCAGAATTTCAGGCCATTTGGACTGGTAAATCATTTAATACAAATTTTTGAATTTTAAGGACAATAACAACAAGTCTCGGTTCAGGTAGCTACAAATCGAGTTTAACTCTGAAATTTTAACACAACATCACCCAATATAACAGGAGCTTACCCTCCATATGTTAGACAAAACGGACGAGAACTCGATTTTATAGGATTTTTCAAAGAATCAGAGGCATCAATGACTACAAAAATTCATAAAGGCCATGATACTCAACAAAAACGACCTAGGGTTTCAAGAACAGCCTTAAGGCATCCCAAGGTTCCATAATTCCACAGGAAATCCACAAGAAATTTGAGATTTATTGATTCTTCAATTAAATCAAATAAGTCTCAACTCTTCTCATGAGCTTAATGATGTATATATAGAGCTACAATAGAGACCCTTAGGAGATTAGAAATAGGACTCCTTAATTAATTAGACTAACTTTGGGCCAACTCACTCTTTAAATTAATTAAATAATATTATGGGCCACCAACATAATATTATTGCACTCTCTTTTTCCTAACCTAAATTACATTTGATACTTCAACTATAATTACTCGATATACATCCCCACGTTTAAGATATAATATCCATTAATTAATTCGATTACTGACAATTAAGAATTAATTAATTTATTATTATTTCACCGAAGCTAGCGCTCGTTCATCACATTATTATTATTATGTCGGAACTTAGTTCACCTGCACGGTTTACCATAACAATCCTTCATGAACTCACTCCGGGGACATCATCAAACTAACGCACATGTTGACCGTAAATATCCTAACAGCACATCATACATATAACAATATTACCCAAGACAATAGGAATATTAATCCAGTGAACTGAACCTCACCCAAGTGAATCAAAGTAATATGTACTACATATATATGCCTATTTAATATCTTACGGGTTAAGAGAACACAGTAATTAACCTAGGCCTAGTTCGTTCATGATGATCAGTATAAAACGAACTTCTCCTCTCTGGGATCCTGTTCAATACATAAATCTACTAGTGCAACTAATCAGTCAAAACCAACTATACCGTTGACACTACAACCGTTCGGTTGAGGTGTTCATTTCCATCTAGGCTGTAAACCACAATTCTTGTTTCGCAAGTAACTGATTGAATGATCTTCTGTTCGCCCAATGATGACCCATTCTATCTAAGTGCAAAACAACAGAACATAGAACTTGTTTAATCTAACATGATTCTCATTCATAAAGGACAAAAGTGTAATAACATCCATAGCCATGTTTTCAATATATAACACTAACACGTTCTGCCCATCATGCAGCTCGTCAAAGTTGACCATTCGCCCCGGAATCATGCACACAACTCCTTCACTCGAGGTGTACAAATCTCCTCCACTCGAGGTGTACAAAGTGCCGTGCATACCCGAAAGCTCCGGTAGTAAGGCCAACCATTAAGCTAGGTCATAGACTCGATCGAGAACTTAAAAAGACTAACAACCCACGACGGTTGTGTTAGTGTTATATACTGAAAGCTTGACTTTGCATGTTATTACACATTTGCCCTTTATGAATGAGATTCATGTTAGATTAAACAAGTTCTATGTTCTGTTGTTCTGCACTTAGATAGGGTGAGTCATCATCAGGCGAACCGAAGATCACTCTATCAGTAACTTGCGAAAAAGAATAGTTCTTCACTACCTAGATTAACATAAACACCTCATCCGAACTGTTGTAGTGTCAACTGTAGAGTTTGTCTTGACTGATTAGTTGCACTAGTACATTTATGTATTGAACATGATCCCATAGAGGAGAAGTTCATTTTATACTGATCATCGTAAGTGAACTAGGCCTCGGTTAATTACTGCGTTCTCTTAACCCGTAAGATATTAAACAGGCATATATATGTAGTACATATTATTTCGATTCACTTGGGTGAGGTTCAGTTTGCTGGATCAATATTCCTACTGTTTTGGGTAATATTACTATATATAGGATGTGCTGTTAGGATATTTACGGTCACCATGGCGTTAGTTTGATAATGTCCCCAGAGTGAGTTAATGAAATATTGTTATGCTAAACCCTGCAAGTGGATTAATTTCCGGCATAATAAGAATGTGATGAACGAGCGCTAGCTTCGGTGAAATAATAATAAATTAATTAATACTTGATTGTCAGTAATCGAATTAATTAATGGACATTACATCTTAAAGGTGAGGAGGTAAATCGAGTAATTATTATTGGAGTCTCAAATGTAATTTGGGCTAGAAAAAGGGAGTGCAATAATATAATGTTGGTGGCCCATTAATATTATTTAATTAATTAGAGGAGTGGGCTTGGCCCACAGTTAGTCTAATTAATTAAGGAGCCCTATTCTTACTCTCCTAAGGGTGCTTATTGTAGCTCTATATATATATCATTAAGCTCGTGAGAAGAGACCAATCCTCATTGTATCGATACACACGCCGCCCTATTTATCTCTATCTCAGTTCTCATTCGAGCTTTATCTTCTTCTTGTTGCTCTACTGATACAAGTTGAAGAGGTGGTTGAGTAATGCAATAGAAGATTCATAGGTATTCGAGACCCGATAATCTTCTACAGCAATTGACGATCCCCGACGGAAGGCCGAGGACCGACCAGCCGGACGACCAGCTCAGCCGATCGCCGCCGTGAGCAGCTCGCCGACCACCGCGACCAGCCCGACTCAACTGCGACGAACCGGCAGAGGGAGACACGCAAACCTGCGATCCACACTGCCCCTGGACGTGATTCGTTTGATCAGACACGACCCGATTTGCTTCCGTTCGTGTGATCTTTGTTCGTGTGTTGTGTACGACCATCCGGAAGATCAGCCAGATTGCCAAAAAAATTTTAAGCCGTAAGTTCTCTACGTCAAACCTTTAGATCCGTTGCGCATAGGTTTACGTTTGCTATTGAATTCATGATTTGTGCATAACGAGATCCTCACAGATCCCAACAGGCTGCTCTTCATCCTCCTCATAACCAAGGTGTACTACATCTCTATCCGTACAAGAGGGAATCTCGTACGGTACTATCAGAATTGTCGCTTAATAACCATCGTCATAAGCGAACCTACCCATGAAAATGCATCTATCAACACACAAGACTCCAACCGGTCTACCGTGTATCGATGGCCTGCTCCAACTGTACAACCACTTGGGTTTGATACGTAATGCCAAGCTTCCGCCTCGTGCCCGGGTCACGATAAAATCTCATCATAAATCGTGAGTCTCCGTAAAAAACGTTCGACACGATACCCCATGAAGTTGGTCTATCTCCACCACACTCTCACTCTATGCAGTCTCGATATACACGAGACGAACATAGCCTCTACTCGGACTTAGGGTTTCGCTCGATATCACTGCGAAACCATTAATTTGCCAACTCGAGAACTCTCGCATATGGCATAGCAACTCATTAACAATCCTTAATCAATGATCAAGGAATTCATACAACTTTTTAGTGGAACTTGGAACTTAGGTTCAAGGTTCAGAAGAAAAGGGTGCAAGGGCTAACAATACAGTTCAACAAGGAACAACTGGTCGAACAGTCCAGAAGAGAATCGATGGTTCAGGGTTCAGTGCATTATCATCCGAGAGGCGACACGCTCGCTGGTGCTGCATATGCGGGGCGCTGGGACGCGCGCGTGCACCTACTCAGAGACCAGCTGCAAGATTGAGGTTTGGCCGCACACACCGGCCAAGGGAGTTCGTGCGTCCGGTGATGGCGGTTGCAGCTCGCGTGCGAGTCGACAATCGGCTGTGTGCTAGCCTAGCATCTCTCAGCACGGGCGTGCGTGCTCGGCCAACACTTCGCTTAGCTACACTCGGCCAGGGTCGATTTTCGGTTCAAGGTTTTGACAAGAAAAATTTATCCCAGGGTTTCCTAACAAAATCAAAGGCAATCAACATAAGGGGTTTTCATGATCATTCCCAAAGGTTTCCAATTAAACATAATAACCCCCGACAATGAAGACGAAACAAGGCTAAGTAAACATGAAAATTGAGTTCCAAGTCCACCATTGATCACAATCCATACGACTCTTACACCATTCTCTCAGCAGTTTTGGCACCTACTGAACACGTAGCCTCTACTCAAAGATCAAGGCTCTGTCTGATGCCACTGCAGCATTCCTATCATGCCAGCTCGAGACAACTCTAGCCATGGCATAGGAAACGATCACTAAGCTGCTCGGCACAACCCTATATCGCAGGGTGATTCCCGCGACTAATGATGTCGAACACCACTAGCCACAAACGCCTACTCTGCTAATTCGATCTCCATCCAAGTACCCTTAAGAATCAACGACTCTTGTTGAGTACTCGATTGGTTAACTCGTCTTGACCCTTCCGACTGCAAATGTCGGCCAACACGTCAGCCCTTCACAGGCGACTGATCGTGCCAGCGGTCCTAAACGAGATTAAACTACTTCCGTTGCCCATATCTCATACTTCGCGATCTTATTACGAAGTCTCCTCTCGTCGTTGGTTTGTCGAGTTACAATAGTCGATGTACAGCTTCCCTCGTCATGAAATGGATCGGTGGTTTCTGGTGTCAAGTCAATTGCGTACTCGCCTGGTTTGTGTGGTAGTCTTCTAGCCATTCTGCCATTTTGTAGCCTCAATTAACTGTCCATTAAAACGCAATCACAAACCGTTGGCAGACGACGGTCATCATCCACAACTTATCAAATACATAAACACTCAAACATCATAATAGAAGTTAATGAAATAACTTTTAAATATCAATAATTTTTTGTAATAATCTATGGAGCCATCGGATGGCTCGATTTATACAGTCATCTATAATTATTTACAAATGACCACTTAAAGAATTTCTTAAAACCAATTTTGCAACACGACTAAATTTTGATATGAAAACATATAAAGTTGTTTAATTTGTTTTTGTGCCAACACTAATGAGCAGAAAAACAAACTTGTCCATACTTGTTTAGTTTTGTTTTCCTTTTTTCCGATTGAAGGATCGGTTGTCATTTAACGCGTAAGACTGATTGATTACACAAAATGTAAAGTCAAAAACACCCTCGCCCAAATCTCTGAATAAACTCCTATCAAAGTCTCCTCCCTCCGCTTCTCCAAAGTTAATAATGTGAAAGGCAGAAGTTTAAAACACACGCAAATTACAGAGACACACACACACTATTGTCAAACTTAATAAAAATCCTACACCCCTTGCAGCAAAACTCACCAAATAGCACACCATGATGCAACAATATTTTTTCTCTCTTCCAAACATTTCAAACTCTTAATTTAGCACTAGCTAGTTTTATTTTAGATAGAGAAGAATTAATTAGGAAAATAGAGAATAAATATATATAAGATGAGTGGTGGTATTGTGGAGAGGGCTCTGGCCAGCCTCGGCAAAGGCTTCGATTTATCGTCCGATTTCCGGCTGAAATATTGCAAAGGAGAGAAAAGGCTAATCCTCCTCAACGAAACAGACACGAGAGAGCTTTGGATTCCCGGAATTGGCTCTTTCCAGAATGTCTCGATCGACATCAAATGCGATAAAGGGGATCGTACGAGGTACCAATCGGACATCCTCGACTTTAATCAGGTATTTCATTTTTTATTTTTATTTTCCATATGAAAAAGTAGACTAGTTTTTATTTTAAGTGTTATTGTTAATTTTTTTTTATTTTTTTTTTTGTTGTTGGGAAGATGTCGGAACTTTTCAACAGGAGAAGCTCGTTGCCCGGGAAGATTCCGTCGGGTCTGTTCAACTCTATGTTCGGTTTTGAAAGCGGGTCGTGGGCCGTGGATGCAGCTAATACCAAATACCTGGGTTTAGATGGATATTTTATCATACTTCACACTATTCATATTGATAGATATCCCCTTATTCTTGATGATCAAGTCAGAAATGAGGTTCCTTCTACTTGGGATCCTTCTGCTCTAGCCAGGTAATTAACTATTTAATATTTAATACTAAATTTTTTTTGGAGAAATGCTATAAGTACGTAATATTGTATATAGGGGTGTCATAACACTCACATTGAGTGAGATCTAACAAAAATAAAAGGGTAATGCTATAAAATAAATACATAATAATGTACGGAACACTCACAATAAGTGAGTTCTACCAAAAATAAAAAATTAATAGACCTCACTACATGTGAGTGTTATGTACAATACATTTATTATTATGTACTGTAAAATTTTCCTTCTTTTTGTTACATATTTATCTTTTCACGAATTTTGTCACCATTTCATTCAATTTTAACCTTACTTATTAGTTGGCTCAATTGAGATTTCTTTTTCTTCATTGTTATGCCGTAAACAAAGGAACAATGATAGTTGGCTATGCTCCATATGAATTTTTAACCTAAAATATCAATTTTATTTTTTTTTTAAATAAAAAATTTATCTCTCTTCTTCTTCTTCTTTTTGACATGGAGAACGAGGTTAGCACTGTGATGGTAGTTGACTGACATTTGGAATAAATGCACAATCTCATCCACAGTAAAGTAATATAGTTGACCAACAAAGTATATTTATTTATACTAGAAGATATGACCAAGTGTTTGGGGGAATTTCGTTGCATTCATATCAAATATACTTTGTTTATCAGAGTTATTTAAATTGAGTTGAATCATTCAAAGCATTGAATACACACACTTCAAATGCTTAATATTAATTCTAATTCTAAATATAATAATTGGACGCACGATCTTTCCGTGTACAAGTAGCTAAGCTAGTGTATACGCAAAATTATACAAAAAATCAGACTTATCAATTTAGATACAGGGTTTTTGGTAATTTTCACATGTTTTTCTTTTATTTTTTAAACCACATGCATGTTGTATACACTAAGTTGGAGTAAAGTATTTTGTCACATAAATTTAAATAAATAAAGCTGTTTATGCTCTAAGAATAAAGCCAGTCATGGTCTTCGTATAATTTTTACCCAAGCACTAGTTCAAATGCTTGAAAATTTTCAACAAAAGCATATATTTGTACCATGAAAACGTTATAATTTTATTTATGTTGACATAGAAACAAAGATTAATATTTCGAAACGTCTGTTAAGATAACTTTAGGTATGGCTAATAGCAATCCATCGCTTGAAAAATTATTAAAAAATTTACCAAGTCAATTATATGTTCCTAGAGATGTTAAACAGTCTAATTAACGGTTTTCATGCTAAATGATTGGGACCGAAAAAGTTTGAATTTAATCGATCGAGCTATGATATTGCCAACCTTGCCCTGATAAACATTCATTTGTTTGTTGTGATGGACACTATAAAGATGAAATTCTGTGAATTTTATGGAGTGATTTATACCTAAAATGAATTTTCACGAGATGTATATATATAGGAACTAGGAAGTTAATTGATGTGGATTTAATTTTGGATTGGATGTACAGATTTATTGAAAAATATGGGACACACATAATTGTGGGGCTAAGCTTAGGTGGAGAAGATACAGTGTTAGTAAAGCAAGACAAGTCCTCAAACGTGGAGCCATCACAACTAAAGAACCATTTGGACAATCTTGGTGATCAATTGTTTACTGGGACTTGCACTTTTTCTCCATATCAACGCAGAAATTCCAAACACCAAAAGCAAAAGGTTCATAATATTATTATTATTTTTCAGTTAAATCATGATGATAGTAATTTTTATTTTTTAATAAAAGCGCCACTAATTAATGTGTATGTTTATTAAATTTATTTAGGCTCCGCAGGCTTTCAATGTCTTTGATCCGCAGTCAAATCTTGTGAGCAACTACGCCTCAATCACTGCAAAAGATGTATGTTTGATCACCATTTGCAGGTTAAAAAAATCTACTGTGGTATTAACCAATTTGCTCAATAAAGAATCACACAAACAGAGATAAAATATCTTAAGAAACACCCACATTTTGTCCGCAGACTTAGTCACTTACTCGGTGTTTGGTTTTAAGTTTTAAAGGAATGGATGGGAAAGGAAGGTTTTTTTTAAATTAAATAAATATCCTTGTTTGGTTTATATATTTGGAAAGAAGTAAAAAGAAAATTGTTAACTCAAAATCCATATCGTCCTGGTTTCTCTCAAGGCCATTTGGGAGGGAGGAAAAAATGGTAGATATTAAGGTACTATTTTACTTTTATTATTTAAGTTATTTAACTTTTTTTTTTCTCATATCATAAGACTTTCTCCAACCGATAACCAAAACTCAAAATATGCAGTAAAATTCTCCAACGGAACTGAAAATCGGAACGCAAAATGAGTTTTATGGGTTTCTCTCTCCTCTTTCAACGCAAATTTGCGATCAAATCCAAAAAATGCGTTTCAAGTTTTAAAATTACAATTCAATCCTTTTTTATTTGAAAATTGGAATTATTATCAATACAAATAACTACATTATGGTTTGTAATTACTAATTAATAATTTTATTTATAAAAATAAAATACATTCTGTAAATGACTGTAATTTTGTTACCAATTTAACTTGTGTACAAGTTTTTTTTTTTCAAAAGCATATTAAAATTGTTATAAGTATTTGTGTTAAGGTAAATATTCATTTTTTATATTACTTATGACAATAAAAAATAATATAAAAATTACCAAAAATGTTTGTGTTAAAGACAAATATTTATCCTTTTATTTTGCTTATGTCAATAAAAAAATATAAAAATCCATGAAATATATATATAATTTTAGATATATATATATATATGTGTGTGTGTGTGTGTGTGTGTGTTTCTATATATTGCGCATATCAAATTATGAAGTTAAAATATTTATAAAAATATATCTATAATATTCTTACGAAATTTGAAATAATTAATCGACTTGTTAGAAATGTTATCAAATTCAAACAATATGATCCCATTTAAAATATTTTTATAAGTTGAAATTAAAAGATGTATATAATATTTGCTTATTTAACAAATATTTATTCCAATAAACAGATTTAATATGTATGTATTTTTTAATTTATAGTTAGTTTATTATGTATTTTTTCAATTGAATATAAAATAAAAATGGGTCTAATTTGTAAAATTGTTAAATATGTAGATACTATTGAAAAATTATAAAAGTTGATATGAAAGAGAATATTCTGATAATAATCTTTTGGGTTGGAGAATGAGTTTTTCGGCTGGAGATAAATTACTGCAAAATAAGGTAAATACTACAAAATGAGTTTGAGTATGGAGTATTCGGTTGGAGATGGTCTAACTAGTCAATCTTACTTTATTTCCCCTGATGCTTTTAACAATT